TTAATGCTAGTTTGATACATATTATTATGTTTCTAAGCTGGCATTAGTATATTCTATGTACAAGCTTTATGTTTCATATTTTTAACACAATCGAGTACCTTTTCTTTCATTAAAAAAACAAGACACTAAAATATTTGATATGAAGGTTCTTATATAGTTGCCATATAAAACTGTATCAAACAAGTTCACGAATTTGTTAAAAAGTAGGCCTCTGTCAAGCCTTTCTTGGACGAGTTTAATACAATTTTGCAACACAATAACATGAAATGAAACCAAACTTGAAATTCTTTTTTATCACATGACTATAAAATTTACTTGTTTTGACAGGTGTTATGTAACACCTGTGTAATCGAAAAATTAACTAATAGTTTTACTACATATACATGGAAAACAAGCGATTTTATGCGATATGTTTATTTAAAAATATTCTAATCACAAAATATAAATTTAGCAATATATCACATATATAGATTCAAATGGACGGAGTGTACTACCTGCTAAAAACATCAAATTTACTAGAATTAAACATTAAATACACATCTTAAATATAATAAAATTTACATAAATGAAACATAAAATTTAGAGTAAACGTTTACTTGGACTGATAAAATTCTACATTTGGGTAAACATATACTTGAACCAATAAAATTCTACATTATGTAAACGTACCCTCATGTAGAATTTTATCAGTTCAAGTAAATGCAATACATATATTGTTCATAGTTATAAGTATCTTGGTGTCGTACTAAATGAATTTTTGGATTATAATGAAATTGCAAAGACAGTTGCAATGTCTGCCTCTAGAGCACTTGGTCTTGTTATATCCAAAAGTAAGGCATTTGGTGGTTTTCAGTACTCTACATTTACAAAACTTTATGATTCAATGGTATGGCCCATAATTAATTACAGTGCCCCGATTTGGGGTGATAGATCTTACTCGTGCATTAATGCAGTTCATCATAGGGCAATGCGTTACTACTTGGGTGTTGGAAGATACACTCCGAATGTGGCTGTAAGTGGAAAGATGGGTTGGAAACCACCAATTGTTAGACAGTGGGTGTCTGTATTTAGACAGTATTTTAGAGTTATGAATATGGATGATAATATAATTAATAAGTCTGTATATACGAGGTATGTTCAAAAAGTTCGTGGATTTTTGCTGTCATTTTTTACTTGGTTCATAAAAACACCCTTAGTGGATATGAATCGAAAGAGTGTCTTTACTTCTAAAAGTAAGATTTACTTTTATTGTAAACTTTTATTTCCTTTACGAGTTATGTGCACTTTAATAACCATGGCAACGCAACATCGGCGCACGCCGAAATTTTCATATAATGCTTAAATATATACAAATGTTGAAACAAACTGAATGATTGTTTTATGAAGTAAAATACAAGTAATCATCTAATAATATTTAAATGACATAAATCTGAAATTTGACGTCGTTTGGACGTTGAATAGCTGAACAAACAGGTTTTGAGCAGCAGTAGACAGACGGGTAAGTTGGGAAGTATAAAGTCCGTTTAAAAAATAGAAATTCGCTGTTTCGGAAATTTTTACCAATAGATGTGGGATACTCTTTCATATTTTTATGTGGTGATTAAATTAACTAATAACAATGAGTTGGCGAGCAAGTCTCTTGGTTTCAGGTCGCGCATGCGATTCACATACGGAAAATACATGCTCACAGACAGAAAGGGCGACGGAGAATTTTAGCGGCAAATTGTTGGGACGTTTGTAACGTCAACTGAAGTCCAGACAGTATGAAAGGTTTGCGACATGTCCGACATGTTTAAATTCTGCATCGGGTCTATGCATTCAATTCTGACAAAACGATTCAATTTAATTAAAATAATATTTTTTTTTCATTCACCACGATATATGCGTATTTACAATAAATATTTGTAGTTATTATTTGTATTACGAGTATTTACCCTCGTCCGTTTAATAATTAATGCTAACCGGTGTTCAGTAGATTTACCGCATAGAATAATTGTCAGTTGATAAAATATTTTTCTTTATCATTGATAATCATAATCATAATCATTAAAGATTGTTTAAAGATCGGACGAGGGCGGTTTCCAATTCCGTTAAGTGTCGAAATTACTCAAAAATCCCGATAAAGAGCGGAAAGTATGCGGCACTCGGACGGAGAATGGAGCGAAAAGATTACCACTTTATATCTCGGGTCATCATCACAAATAGAAAAATGGTTTTGGTATATGATCCGCGGATATTGAACACTAAAAAGAGAACTTTCAGAAACAATGACGCTGGTAAAACGTTTCATTTATATTGCGACGTCACGAACGTAATTTTGTTTCGTAATCAGCGTGCGCCGGATTGTGCACCCCTTGTGATTTGTAACTGTCACAGAATTGTTATTTGCAAACATATTGAATTGATTTTTTCACTGTTAAATAAGGACATATTTTCGTATATGTCTCTTGTAAAATCATATACGCAAATTAAAAGATGTGAACAGTAGAGCCGCAGTCCACGAACTTTTTGAACAGCCCTCGTATGTGGTCTAAAACAAGTAATGTCAAGAATGGTTTTTACCGACTTAAGAAACTTTTAAAAGATATTAATAGTAATCACATACTTGAGGCTAATATCGGAAATGCCAAACCTACCATATCAATGCTAGAATCTAATTTTATGGAAATAGAAACAAATAAATGGAAGTTATTACTTGAGAGAGAAAATGCCATTAGAGGAAATGGCGGGAATAAATTAAGGACTTACAGGAAGTTTAAATCTCAGTTCTGCACTGAAAAGTACCTTACGTCTAAGTTGCCATTTATGTATAGATCAGCCTTTACAAAATTCAGATGTGGTGTAGCACCACTAAGAATAGAAACAGGTCGTTATGAAAATATTGATGTAATGAATAGAAAATGCTTTAACTGTCCGGACACTTTAGAAGATGAGAAACATGTATTACTTTACTGTCCATTATATAATGATATAAGGAAAGAGTTGGTCTCTGCGTTAGATGATGTATTAAGAAATAGAGATATTATATCTGATGATGACAAAATGGTTACAATTTTTAGTAGTGAAAATCTAGTATATTTATCTGCCAAAGCCTGCCACCATATTCTGTTTGAGAGAAAAAGAAAATTGTACTGTAAATCGTGATTCTTTTATTTGTTTTTATGGAGTATCGTTTTAACCAATATGTAAATAATGGTTAGTAATATTTTAGATTGTTTTTATGGTTTTTACAAATATATTCAAGAAGTAGGTTCCAATAAGTAGACTAAATTAAATACAGTCTGGTTGTCTCAACTCTTCACATTATTTTTTTTTAAAAAAGAAGAAAAATACTTGGTTTTATTTTCAAGTAACTTTGTAGTATGTTAGATTTGTTGTAAAATTATGTATAGTCTCTTATAACTCATCTATGAGTGGCATTTATATACAATGTCGTAGGTTTTATATTTGTATTGTTTTAATATTGTACATGATGATGAGACTTTAATAAACTATCTTATCTTATCTAATAAACTATCTTTATATTGATTTGGAAAAAATATTTTCAAAATTCTGAAAAAGAAAAAATCATACCTTACTTATGTTAATGAAGAATATTTTAAGATTTTTAATTTACCTTCCAAACAATAGCTTTATTTATCACAGCTTAAACTTTTTTATAATATGACTTAGACTTTATTAACCAATTGCTTGCTGTAAATAATTGTACCCATGTGACAAGTGCAGACCAAGAAAAGCTGACTTTTCTTCTGTGTTGTTCTGCATTGTTAATCAGTCGGTATTTATTTTGAAATTTAATAAAAAATGTTCAGATTGAATAATGTACAAGTCAATTTAAGATATTTAGCAATGTAAGAGTTAAACTGCCAATGAAAGCACTACAAATTCACCTCTATCAAAACACCTATACATTTATCAATACAAGAAATTCAAACATCTCAAGGCACATTATGCCTCAGACAAGAATATTTTTTTCCTTCTAAAGGAAGGGCATACATCGGTTTTATAATATTTAAATCATTATTTAATGTAATGTGAAAATTTGAAACACTATAATAGGTTTCCCCCATGTTTAAATTAAGAAGGCATATTTAACTTTTCAAATATGAAATGTTATTTAATAGTAATAAGGCCTGTTAAACAATGCCTGTTTATCTATAACATCTTGTGCATTTAATCTTTAGTTTAAATTTAAAGTTACTGATTTTCTGAAGTATAGCAAACTCCACGAGAAATATGATAAAATAGGTTTTACCCTTTCTAGCTAAAGCCAGGGTCTTTAAAACATAAACTTCTAAAATTCTATTTGAAAGACCATGTTGATATCTTACATATTAGCACATTTTTACTTAATACTATGAAATATGAGTTGCATTATACTCAATAACCTTTAACATAATTTGCAGACATTGTATTAACCTTTCTTCTATTTTATCTTACACGTAATTCATTTGGCTATTTATAGAAATGCTTCTTTAAATAGCGTATCGTGTGATATATTTAGCTGTAAAATTTCCATAGCTGTTTCTATTTATAACGAAAACGGTTTTCCGGTTTCTAATGGACTCTTGTGCATTTATTTTTTTTTTTAAATTACTGATTTTCTGAAGTATAGCAAATCCCACGAGAAATATGATAAAATAGGTTTTACCTTTTTTAGCTAAAGCCAGGGTCTTTCAAACACAAAACTTCTAAAATTCTATTTGAAATACCCTGTTGATATCTTACATATTAGCACATTTTTACTTTATACCATGAAATATGAGTTGCATTATACTCAATAACCTTTAGCATAATTTGCAAACATATTGTATTGAAGTGAGCAGCAAAAATATAAATATATTAAATTCTTTCAAAATAATAGTAAAATAAGGTATTGAGGGTTTGCTTGAATAATGTAGTGAGGGCGCCGGTTGAGCATACCGCCTCCCCTCTAAATCCGCCCGGCTATTTTATACCTATTCTATTTATAGTCAAATTGGTTTTCTTGTGTAAGGTCACATGACGCGTAAGTTGCAGTGAATTCTAAAGCGAAAGTGCACATTTAGAAAGAACAATATATTACTTTGCAACACTTTATTTCTTATGTCTACAATTGTAAAAATATGCTGAAAATTGGTTTACGGATTAACACTACTCTGAACACATCGTTAAAGGCCTGATCGACGGACTTTTTCAATAAAGTAATAATGATAAAAGGAAATCATAGTTAAACAAGGTAAAACCTATTTTATCATATTTCTCGTGGGAATTGCTGGATGTAATATAAACCTTTTTTCATATCTTTAAATGTATGTTTGTAACTTTGCTAAATTCATCAAATTATACACTATAAAACGTGCTCGTTGAAGTCTCTGTAGCAACCTCAACTTTATATTTTTACAGATTTGTTTACTGTTACAATTCACAACATTGAACTGTTTCACAAAGTTGTAAGCTGGTTCTAAACATTTCGGTATTTGTAGTTAGATGTAAATTCAAAATTGTATTTCTCATGCTTAAATTTGCATACAAATGATTTATCAGATGTGAATAATATTTTTTTATTAAATATGTTTGCTTTTGTTTTCCACTAAATTACAACTTCTAATGTACTATGACCTTATATATTAATCAATGTCTTTTCTATTTTATCTAACACGTAATTTATTTGACTATTTTTAGAAATGTTTATAGTGTGATATATTTAGCTTTTTCATCACTATTTATAATTCAAAAGGTTTACCGGTGTCTGATCCGTTACGAAAGGTTGCATGAGAAAGGTAAATGCTATTCTTATAATACGCCTAGTGTAACCCTGTTAATCTCAGTAGACTTATAACTGGCTTTTTATGTCAGTATTAAACATATAAAATACCTAAGTTATAAAACCGGACAGATATTGAAAGAGGTTAACGTTTTATATAGTGTAATAAAATACAAATTTATATAGAAATTGTTCATTTGAAGTGCACTTGTATCCGATTGCGGATCGAGAAAGTAAGTCTGAAATAGACAAAAACTTAATACATTTTAAACATTTTGCTTTATCACTGATGACTTTATTCGTTGAAAAGTAAGGTTTTAATCGTATAAAATCAAAACTGTAGCTCAATTCAAATTCACATTAAATGCAATGTAAACATTGTTATTAATCATCAATTATCAATTATACAGTTGATAGATAATTATGCTTATATAATAGAAATGTCAGAATATTTATCACATTATGCTATAGTATCTTTTTATGTCATTTTTAATGAAGAAAAGTAAATTTAATGTTCTGGTCACGTATTAAAAGAATTTGCTTGACATAATTTGTGTTCATTTGTTGTTTCATCAATGTGTTGTCATCATCTGAAACAATGAAATAAGACACTTCAAAGTACTCTCTTTGTACTTTACCTACTAAATTAATTTGAAAACTATACAATCACAATTTTATTTATAAAAATACTTAAATAAACACAAAAAACATGTAGCAATAATTAAAAGGTATAAAGCTATATCTTACGAAATATTTTTACAAAATTCATCGTCATCAAAAATTTTATTACTTCCATAAAGAGTTGTAACATACAGTGTCTCTCTAATTTAATACACATGAATATTGCACACAAACAGAATAAAATGTTCCAGAACAAAATATTATACTGCTATTTAAAGTAGTTTTTTGTATCTGTTAAGCAATAATATCATGCATATGCAATTTACTTACTACCATATTTTTACAGAAGCATGTTTGAAAATTCAAACGATCATTTTTAAAGTAGATATATAGCTTTATAAACCTTAAACTATTTTGAATTATAAGCATTGATTCACATTGATACTTTTGCGTAAGAATATTCTTTGATGACATATTATGTTACTTTTGCAAAGCATTTGATTAATATTTATCAACTTTGTATAACGTTTGCTACTATTGAACTAAAAATGATCAATGCACAACAATGTACTACCTTTTCTAAAAAAATAAATAAACAATATAATGCTGTTTGTATATTTTATATAAATAATGGGTTTCCATGTTACTTGTTCACTTTACAGATGGCAGACAAATATTATAGACTTGTTTGCTTTGTGGTAGATATTTGTGCTGACGTATTAAGGAAATATTTCGTCAAACTTGCAAAAACTGATGCAGGGAACACTTATACATCAGTCGATGCATACTTATCTCACAAAAAGAGGGATGTGATGAGATTATTTAATAACAAGCAGCTCAGGAGAGATCAGTATGATTTATTGTATCCTGGTAACGGCACCGCTGATGAAAACCAATGGGACGTCTCAATACTGGTAACTTTGATAAAAGAACTTTTTGCCAGGCGTCTGCAGCCCCTTGTTAACGTCGCGTTGGAAATTGAAATTCGAGGGATTCGAAATGAGTTGCAGCATCACCCAAATACTGGCAATATTTCAGATGATGACTTCGATGATTATTGGGGGCGATTGGACTCTTCTGTTAGGCTTATAGCAATGAATGCGCTTGATACAAATGATCAAGCATCCTTACTAGATAAAATAAATCAGGTAAAATGTAATCATCTACCAAATCTCGGTGATTGTTTACGTATTTGGCATGAAGAAACCTCTAAGCAGTTGTTAAACACTATGAATGAAGTGCATGCAAATGCCGAAGAATCAACATCCATTCTCAGACAAGTGACGGTCCAAAAACCAGGACATTCAGGTAAGTTTCAGTAATCATTCATCAACTTAAGGTTCATAATGTAGTGTATTTTAATGTTATTTAATTCTTATTTACCGCAATCAACACTAACATTTGATACGATAAGGTAAGTGAAATTATCAAAATATTTCGAAGAGATCAGTATCTTTGGGTTTAGAAACTTTGCACGCAGTTCTCAAAATGATATATATTTGAAATGATTGGTTAGTAATCTTCAACATCGTTCAGAAACTTTATAATTAATTGTTGCTCCGATAGTTGTATTGTTTATTGGATGTGGAATATATTATACTTCAGGGGACAAAAATAAAAGAATAAAAGTTGCTGATGATATTCTGGCACGGCTTCAAGGTAGGTTGGTAATTATCAAACAAATAACATTCCAAAAGTATTTTCTACATTCATTTCTAATAAGACAATTTTATTTCATTTTAATCTAATATGATCTAATCTATCACATCAGACATATAAATTACAGTATCTCTAAAAGTAAATTTATAATTTAAACTTATTTATTTAAGCTCAATTGAAAAAGTAAATTTTTGTTTTCCTTAGAGTATTTTGTGCATACAATCATTTTCTATTTGTAAGCGGGGTTTGAGTCAACGATGAAAGAACTATCAGACGATTTCAACCCACCAAGTGAAGTGACAGACATTCGAGCTAAACTAAGAGATTGCCATCACGTGCTTGTAACCGGATGCAACAATAGCCGTTACTTTGAGACCGCTCTTGCAGCAATAAAGGGGATGGACTATAATTACAAACGATGTGTAGAAATGCACACATCGTCTGATTGGCGTCACATTGATCCTGAAGATGTTGACTTGGTTGTATGTAGAGATCCATTTGGAAGAATTTCCTATGATAACAGCAAAGCTAAAGCCATGGATGATATATTTAAAAGCATGATGCATTCAACAAAGAGAGATAATGGCGATAAAGCCTTGGATATTGTCATAGTAACAGACCTGAATATATTAGAAGAGTGCAAATTGCATTATGACCATGAACTCTTAGACGAGGTGGTGAAGGTGTTTACTGACACAAGTTCAACACAACCGGCTGATCTTACAATAGGTATTTTATTTATCGTTAACTTTAAACTGATTGATGCTAAACGAACTAAATCAGTCTAGGTTAATGTTAATGTCGATAATGTATTGAATAATATAATTTTTTAATTTAGAATGATTACGTTAATTTCTCTCTCCACACTCAATCTATTTTAGTTCATGTTGTCTTTTGGTTATGGGCTATAACTGGTTATACTGTAGTGTATATTGAGGCCGACTTTTTGCGAAAAAAAATATATTCCGTATTTTTACAGTCATGGCGGTGCTGCCATTCCTCGATCATTACTATTTTCAGTTCTGGGTATAATGATACCTGGCCAAACCCCCTTTAAATTGACCAAACTAAATTTGACCTTCATTCATAAATAACATTGACCATCAAGTTCAAATGTCTAAATTTTGCTCGATTTTTTGCTGAATTTATGAATTAGTGCCTACAACTTTGTTATTTTTGAATGTTTTGTATTCAAATTTGAACACAACAATCTTTTAGAATAGACCTCCAAGTGTTCATATATTCTATATCATAATTTATTTTTTAATATACGGATTTAATAAATATGTGGACAAACCAAAAGGACATGTTCAATTGTGACCTTTAAATGGCATTGACCGTCAAGGTCAGACGGTCAAAAGATAAAAAGGAAGAGTTCAATTTTATTTTTAGAAATGTGTTAACACCGTTTATTTGTTTGCCTTTAGAAAAAAAGTCGCCCCAGCGGTGTTATTCTGTTAAGATTATATTAATAAATCATCACTTGTTTATTCGTTAATCACGTTTACAGCAATACCACTGTATATTGGATTTAATTATGAACGAAATATGTAAAAATGAATAAGAATAGCTTCCTCGTTACAGGATGTAGAGGCCAAGGACAATACGCACAATCGTCTTCGCTGCCAGTAACCAGAAATAATTTGGGAGGTAATATTACTTGTTTCTTTTTCATGTATATTTGTAATTCAGTAATAATGTCATTCATACTTGTTTGATTTTGTTGCTTTTCTTCAAATAATTTAATTTCCTTTATTTTGAAGCTATGACGGAATATTTCCTGAGGGTTTATAAGATATACAGTTGTCAAGTAGATGATGAGATACTTAAAAAAGCAAAGAAATGTTTTCAAAAATATAAGGCTATAGTACTAACAGGGCTAAAGAAATGTGGTAAAACTTCAATAGCTGTTGCATTGGCGTCTTCCTATAAGGAACAGGAATGTTTACTTCTGAAGAAACCACACGATATTGACAAAATTGACTTCCCAAACATCTGCTTAGTGATCATTGATGAGTTTGCTGGGAAATATCGTTATGAGGAGAATGAAGCGTACGAATGGTACAACATGTTTGACCACCTGTACAATGCCGTTATAGCTGGACAGATGAACGTGATAATAACGTGTGAAAAGGGTAAACTAGACAAATGTATCAACGAAATTGGACGGCATGCCATTCTTGACCACGTGGTGGATGTAACTTTACAAGAAGATGTCGTTAAATTAGAAGTACCTGAACGTAAGTTGATTAGTTGAATCTATTCTATCTCGTATTGTTATATACCATAACATCGTTATATTTCCTTCAATACTTATTCAAACTTAAGAATTTCACTATCATAATAAATGATTATGTGACTAAATGAACGGTTATGTCATCATTTAAGGTTAAGATAAAAAAAATGTACAGATTAAAAAAGTTGACGGTAATGTTGATTTTAGCGGAGATAATGTTTTTTGCAGTGGATGCCATTATACATGTATTTTGAAAACTTGTCCGGTTTCTTGTATAGTCTATAGTTATTTAATTTTCTTTAAACAATCTTCTCTTGGATATACAAAGGAATTGTTTGTATTCTGACAGTAAGCCTTCAGAGATAGCATATATTTTTCTTTTTTACTAGAATATGGACATGTGTCTGGACAGATAGTTACTAAAGATCATTCTATAGGCACCATATCAAATTCAACACAGACTTATAACTACACATCATCATTGTTAGCGGACAGAACACAACGGCCAATCTTGCCAGTTTCTACAGAAAATACTTCACTTTTAGGTAGAGCACAAATGGAAGGTTTGTCATTCATGAATTGTATGCGATGCATGCCATTATATTTTGACAAGTGCCATGTTGCTAGTTATTAAATACTTTAATTCTCTTCCGTAAAGCGGGGAGGGGATTATAGGAATGGCTTCCGTCCGTCTGTCCGTCCGTAACACTTTCGTGTCTGCTCAATATTTTTAAACAGCTGAAGATATTTTGAAAATAACTTGGAACAAGTAATCACAATTATGAGACAATGTATAGAGCGCAAGAATTTGGTTGCTACCCCCAAGGTCAATGTCTTAGGTAAAGATCAAGTGTTAAAAGCATAAACAATTCGTTATCGCTCCATAACTTTTACATCCTATCATTTTAGAAATAACTCGGCACAAGTGATCACCATTATGAGACGATGTGCAAAGCGAAAGAAATTGGTTGCTACCCCCGAGGGCAAGGTCATGCTTTAAGGTCAAATGTTAAGAAATATACATTTTAGCCGCTTTATAAATTTTAAACCTCTGATTTTTTATAACCTAACACAAGTGAGCACCATTATAAGTCGATTTGCAGAGTGCAATAATTTGGTTGCCAACCCAAGGTCAAAGTCATACTTAAAGGTCAAGTGTTAAGTTTACGCTCCATAACATTTAAACCGCTGCAATGCTTTTAACCTAATTTGACAGTAATGATTACCATAAGGACACCATGTGCAGAGCACAACAATCAAGTCATTACCCTTGAGATCAAGGTCACACTAAACTACCCAATGTGGAAACATCCATTTTCCATGTCGGCTCTATATCTTATTGAATATTCAAAGGTTTAAAAATTACTTTGCACAAATGATCCCCACCATGACACAATCTGCAGAGCGCAACATCTAGGTTGCTGGCCTGAAGGTCAAGGTCACACTTAAAAGTCAATGATGAAGTCCACATTATCCTGTCTGCTCCTAAACTTTTAAACTACTAAAAAGTTTTCGAAATTACTTTGCACAAATGGTCACCATAATGACATGATGTGTGGAACGCAATATTCAGATTGCTACCCCAAAGGTCAAGGTCACACATAGATGCCAAATGTTGGAAGACAACAATTTTGTGTCCTCTACATAACTTTTTACTTATTGATTTTTTAAAGAAATAATATTGGCACAAATGATCACCATCATCACCTTCAGAGGGAACAACCAGATGGATTCTCCCAAAGTCAAGGTTATAACATAAGCAGCAGTCTGTTTATTCTCACCTGAATGAAAAAAAACAAAAAAAGAAAGAAACAAAAAAACAACAACAAAAAACAAAAAAATACACGAAATCTTTAACAAATAATACATTAGAGTCACAATCAAAGTATAATAAATTGAAACAGATCACAAAAGCCGATGGGACATCAATTTTGTCTAATAAAAGCATGATACAACCAAATATGTAGGAAAATTATTCTAAAATTTCCCATTGTCACCAAGACCATTACATAAAAATTAAAATAAAATAAAAGGATTTACTAAGGTATCCTTCTGAATATTGAAGTTGGTCAATACTTGAAACTGACTTTTTTTGATGAGCAAATGTACTCATGATATGCATGGCACAACATCAAGGTTATGGTTTGTTAAAGGTCAAGTAGAACACATTCATGTTCACTACGGAAGTGGATTTACCTGTTTTCAGACTGCCTTGTTTTTCTTCTTTTTTTTACTCTTCTCTGAAATATACAATGACTTACGATATCTTACATTTCTTTTTTTTCTTTTTAAATAAGGACTAGAATATGGACATGTGTCTGGACAGTTACTCAATACAGACCATTCTATAGGCCCCATATCAAATACCACACAGTCTAAGAACTACACAACACCATGGTCAGTGATACCGTCACAAAGGCCAATCTTGATGTCAAGTCATGACAGAATTTCTTTAGGAAATACCTCACTTTTACAGTTACGTCATGACAGGATTCCACTTTCTACAGGAAATACCTCACTTTTACAGTCAAGTCATGACAGGATTCCACTTTCTACAGGAAATATTTCATTTATTGGTAGAACACAAATGGAAGGTTTGTCTTACATGAATTGTCATCAATATAAATATAATTCCTATCGCATAGTACTTATTATTATTAGCTACTATTATTCCTCGAGGAAGGCAGCGGAGTATAACTTTGGCGTTTATCTTTCCATCTGGCAGACTGTTCGTCTAATAGTCTCCTATTTCTTACACTTAATCATAACGCTACAGCTAGTTTAAATATTTTTAAGTAGTAACATTCTATTGAGGAAAAGTGCAATGTGAAGTAGCTCTTATGTTTCATTTCATAGTACTTAAAGTATCTCGTTATATTTTTAAACCATACTGCAGTACATTTAACTCTTTAAGTATTTAGATACTAACGTTAACTATAAAACGTTCATATAAGTCATTATAGTTAAGAACTGTAGCTCTTCTCCCCATAACGTTTGCGCCATTTGTCCTTCGTGTCCTAAATCTTGTTGTCATTCAAATTATTTCCGTTATCAATAAGAACAGCATAGTGTACAGATGACATTGGAAGATACAGATTGTGAGATTTTTCCATCTGGCTGTATAAGTAGTTCTTGGTTATGTAATCATATATAATCAAACTCTGATTCTGTTTTGTTTTTTACCTAGGGTCCTTTGTAGTTTATCATAAGAGATTTTAACATACATTGGAACTCTTTTGTATGTCTTTAAGGAAAAGTTTTACATCAAATTTTATCTAAAAACGCATGTTTCTTTATTAATTACTCCAATTAAACAGTGACAAACACTTACATATAGCCCTTTATTAGATAAATATTGACTTACTTTGTTATAGTGATTTATTTGTCGATATAAAAGCATATTGGTCATGAAGTTAATGAAATTATAATCCAGAGAGTAATTAATTTAATGTTTTTCATTTCATCCTTGCCAACTTTGAAAATTTGAGCAAAATTTCACTAACCCTTAAATTGTCCCTTTTTATATCACTAAATATAGAAATATTAAATTAAAAAAATGACCCAAAATTTACAGGACAATAGTCGAAAAATTTTTTTTATTGTCCTAGTAGCTCAAAGGTTGCCCTTTTAAAAAGCCTTTTATTTTTTTTGTTTTAAATTTTATATTAAAGGGCTTAATAAAACAGACGCAATTAAGTGTTTTTCTTTCCCAAACCGACAGAGGACTCTATCTAAAAAATCCCCTTGTCGATTTAAAAACCTTTAAATAAATTAAAGGGAAAACCTTAGCCCCCTTTTTAATTTTATATAAAAAATCAAAAATTTAACATCCTTTCAGGAATAAAAAACCCAAAATGAATTGAAAAAATTTTTCTCGGGGAATGGAAAGGTACAATATGAAAACATTCTAAGTCAATACCACTTAAGATATTTGATACAAAAAGTATATACGAGGGCTGTCCGTAAAGTTCGTAGACGAGGCTACACGTGACGTCGGAAAAGTAGCCTCTCGCTCAATGTACTCAGCATATTTCTCTTTTATATTTGCATGTTATAATAAATTATATGTTGTGTTTATTGTGGTTGCTGATAGAACATTTAAATAGGTGAATGGGACTAGAGCTACATGAGCACTTTGCATTTACACATGAATTGAACTGGTTTAAACTGATTTTAGACTAATATTGAACTAAACAATTTTTTTCCAAATTTTTTGATAACGCCGTCAGTTTTATTTATCATTATTTTATTACAACTAAGCGCAGAACTTTGTATCAATAAATCGTTTATTATTTGACCTTTATATCACTAACATCTATCATTAATAAAAACATTTCTTGTGAAAACATGTTTTTATTAAAAAAAATAGCCGGTCAATTTTGAAATTTCCCGGGTTTTTTTTTAAAATCCCCAATTTTTTTTTCCCAATTAACAAAAAATTTCGATATCTTTTCTATAAAACCAAAATCTAGAGTCAAATTGGGGAAAAACGGACTGGACGCCCGTTTTGGTTAAGAATCGGGCCCAATTTTCCGCCGGGTTTTGGTCATCGATGGGGAAACGAAAAGATTAAACAGGATCTGCTGATACCCGGGATTGTTTCTTTACAGGAATTTGTACCCCTCCCTTTTCAGGAGAAATTTTTGCTGCAGATCACAAAATAAAAAATTAAAAGAAATTGATGACTTTAAATAATGTAAAGGGGTTTTTTGCTATTTTTAGTTTAATAAGGGGTTTTGTATCACTTTCGGAAAAACCTTTTAATATATACCTGATTAGTAATATTTAAAATTTATTCTTTGTCTTTTGGGGTTTTTCCCATGGGTTAAGATATTTTTAAGACTTTTAGGGTTTCTTTTAAATAGATATATGGAGGGGTTTAAAAATAAGATTATATAAAATTAAATACAAAACCCAATTACGGGAAAATGATGAATAGTTATACCTCCAAAATTTTAATTTGACAAAAATTTAACCCTTTTTTTACTTTAAAACCAATGAGAATACGAAGCTAAATGTGGAGTTTGTGTAGATAATTCCAGGTTTTGTTTATGTAAATGATATGAATGAAAATATTATACAAATAAGTGAAGATGGCAAAACTATACTTGAGGACATATCTGACATGATAGATGTATGGACTCATACATTAACATTTGATAGGAAAAATAAAGCTTTGATAGCAGCAGGGATATCAGACACAATTACAGTCGTAAAACTGATGTAAAAATGTGAAACTCAAACAAGATGAATAAATAGGATACCGTGATCATATAATTGCCATTTGAATAAAGTTAAGATTTCTATAAATATATAATACACTTTATTTCTAACGGCATAATGTATAGTTAGAATTATTCCTCACTAGATGATGAAGCAAACTTGTTTTTTGTTTTGTTTTCTTCAATGTATAGATAATGCAAGATATATAAGTATTTATAAACTTTGATCATTTGAAGTACAACTGATGAATGGGGGGGGATCCACTTTCAATTGTTTACATAATGACGTAATCATGTGTACACTTAAACAATAGAATGGGTGACACACGTGTGTCACTCAAAACAATAGAATGGGTGACAACACGTGTGTCACAAAATAACAATAGAAAGCTTAGCACACAAAATTTTTTAATCCCGCCAAAATAAAATGGATGCCTTATTTAGATTGAAATAAAAAATGGCGCAATGTTTCTCCATAATAAAAGAAAAACGAAACATATTTGTTTAGGGGGTCACATAAATATGGTTTAAAGTATACAATAGAAAAATGTTACCATAAAGGATTAACTAATTTCGGTCAAAATATACAAAGGAAAAACTATAATCAAATTATTGGTTTAAACTATGAAAATAAAATTAGGACAAAATATTATTAATAGTAGTCTAGAACAGGCTGTGGTCAACTCATCTAATAAGCTACTTAAGTATCTAGTATTTCTTCTTCTTGATATTGTATTTTTTGTATCATCAGAAAAATGTAAAGTTTAATCAATTGTTTACATAATGACTTAAGAGTGTGTACTTTATAACAATAGAACAGGTAACACTCCAAAAAAAGCAAATGAGCAACCAAAATGAGCATATGAGCAACTAAAATGAGCGACTGAGCAAGGAAAAATGAGTTAATGAGCAATCAAATGAGCACCCAAAACGAGCAAATGAGAAACCAAATGAGCAAGTAAAATGAGCAAATGAGGAACCAAACAAGCAAATAAGCAACCAAATGAGCAAGTTAAATGAGCAAGTTAAATGAGCAAATGAGCAACCAAAAAGAGCAAATGAGAAAGTAAAATGAGCAAATGAGCAACCAAAATGAGCAAATGAGCAAGTAAAATGAGCAAATGAGCAAAGAAATGAGCAAATGAGCAACCAAAAATGAGCAGATGAGCAACCAAATGAGCAAATGAGCAAGTGAAATGAGCAGATGAGCAACCAAATGAGCAAATGAGCAACTAAATGAGCAAAATGAGCAAGTTGAAATGAAGCAAATGAGCAACCAAAATGAGCAAATGAGCAACCAAAATGACCAAATGAGCCAGCAAAATAAGCAAATGAGCAAATAAAATGAGCAACTGAGCAAGCAAAATGAGTTAATGAACACCCAATTGAGCCACTTAGCAAGCAAAGCGAGAAAATGAGAAACGAAATAAATTAGTTGGGAGTATAAAAAAGGAGAATTGGCATTAATTTTGCCATTTGATCGCTTAAAATAATGGTATTCACATGTCTTTTGTGTTATAAAAAATTCAATAAAAAGTACAATTTAAAAAGGCATTCGCATCTCAAACATAAGAACAGTATGTCTGAAAATAATATCAGCGATGGAAATACATCAGATGAGGAACCAAATCGTAAACCTTATCTATATAGAAACATTTTCGATCGGTTGAGACCTAATAGATTTAAATCTCATCATTACGAAGAAGACGATGATAGTGAACAAGATAATGACGATGAATCTTCTACTATAGGGAATGACAATGGCAAACAATATGATGATGTTAACAAGAACAAACATATTGACATATGGAAGTATTTTACAGAGCTCACAAATGAACAAGGAGATAACGTTTTAAATGAAACAGCCAGTAAATGCGTAATGAAGACCCTGATAGCTCTCTTGAAGAAATAAGAAATAAAGCTTTTGAAAAATTACGCTCCGTGTATCATTAAAGCATTCAGAGAAGTTTATTTGGATTTTATTGGAAAAATGTATGCACTTCAGCGCAATCCTACACATAAAAAGATCATGGGAACTGTTAAAGGATTGAGAGAGGAAGTTGATTTCGAAAATGATGAAGCTATACAGTATGCTGTTAAAAAACAGAAAATTTATGTTAGAGCGTGTTTATGGACAAGTACCCATTACCAGAACTTGAAGAACATTTGATGATGATGATGATGATGACAGTGAAAAAGCAACTAGTAGTGATAAATACTGACATTTTATCAAAAAATGAACAAATTATTAAAGACATGTGAAAGTTTATATTATTTATTCATATTTTGGAAAGACAAAAGGACAAATGTTAGTGTGGTACATAATGATTGAACATTTTTTTATCATATGCCAAATGCGTTTTATTTTAAATATTTCTTTTTGTAAATGCAGTCTGTAATAAATAAATTAAACTGTATTATTAGATCTTTGTTTTATTTTGTTTATAAATTTATGTATATCCTTTTCTTAAATCGTCCAACTAATCCATGTTGCGCCTGGGTGTATATAGTTGAAATGCAAAAAAAAGTTATCTGGAGAGAGAAATCTAGTCAAGGGTATGTGCAAACGTGACATAAAAAATCTATCACCAAATAGCTGTTTTTTGCTCTGATGATATTTTTGAATATTAAGTAAAATCCATATTACCACTTCAAGCATGTCAGGAAAATAGTTATACTGTGGCAACTATAAGGAAGAACTCGTTTTTAATGGTGGACATGAAGTGAGTAATTTAGGGACACACCCTGTATACAAAGGGCTTACTTATTGACATGAAATTAAAACTTTTAATTATTGTTTCTTTCTGTTATCAAGTCATAAAAAGGACCAATGTTTATCTTGGCGCTGACATCAATTTCACAGATATTACAAATCTGACGGTTCATTGCTATACAAATTCCAAGGTGATGACATTATCACTTCAGTGTTGAAATGTAAGATTTAATTGGTTTCTTCGTTCTGGCAATTAACAGCAGAAAATGTTTAATCTTTGCTAGATCAAAATATAAAAAATAAGAATGTGAATAAAAAAAAGTTTCAAAATACAATGTATATAATTAATAGGTTGTAATTCCTATCCTCGCTTAAAAAGTGGTAAATCAAATCATTTAAAATTTCTCCATTGAATAAATGAATGTTCATAACTGATCCGAAACATGGACACAGAAAGTCGTCCCTTTGTGGATTTATTACCTGGTTGAAATATATGTTACATTTGGGGTCATAACTGG